TGTCCTCAAATTAAAAAAAAAATACCTTAATCATTTTCATGCTTTCATTCAATTCAACACAATTTCAAGATTAAACATAAGTTAACCGAGTTAAAATAAAGAATTGTTGGTCTCCTATGCGTATAGTAAATAGTGGAAAGTTTCCTTACATTTAGACTTTGATCTAAAGTGACTCAATCATAAATATGTAGTTATAAAGAATGTATGGACTGATGTTTATGAAAATCACAAGCTTCATATTCATGTTATGGTCTAAAAAGAAATAAACATGTACCTTGACATTGTACCATCATTTCAAGCTTTTATCATTACCAAAGCATTTGCTTATTGATGCGTTCAAACTTGGAATAATCACTTAATGCTTCTTCAAGCCATTGAAAGACAAGCTTTGAGAACAAACTCCAAAATTTTTGCTAAAACTAAACAACTTGAAATTAAACTAAACTAATATACTATCTACTTGAAACAATTTAAACAAAACACAACTTGATTAACAAAAACCAACACAAAAAGTTATTTCGACATGAAATACCAACCAAAATTCCCATATCCAATGAGCAAGGGTTTATGGTAAGTGAAAATAAATGGAAAGCCTGAGAATTTTTTTTGCTGGTATAAGGGTGCGCTCAGTGCCAACTCTGCTGCCCAGAATTTTCAAAATGTCAATCAGTTCTCAACTTTGCCATCCATTTTCACTCTTTAAGACCTAAACTATATAATTCAAAGTTTTTATACTTACTAAGTCAGGTTTCCTTACAACTAGCACTTGTTTAACGTCGTTAGCTCGACCCCTTTTTCAAGTAGATGTTTCCTTTTTTTGTTTCTTTTGCTTGGCTAGTTGTTTGCACTTCTTTATTTTGTTGTTGTTCCTTCGAGCAGTTCTTTTTATATATGGATCAAAGAGAAATTGTTCTACTGATAATTTACCTCGCCTAAATAGAAATCACAAATCTAGCAAGCACAAATTAGTAGCATGATAGCTAGAAGTATGTATACATTATTAATAAATGCACAAGCTTAAAATGACATAAACTATTGATATGCTTTAATATCTAAACGCCAGTCCCCGACAACAACGTCATTTTGATGTTGAGTAATCAAAATTAAGTATTTATTTTATCGTATCCACAAGGACTGGTTCGATATCAATGTCGTTCAATAGTTACTATGGTTCTAAGCGGAAGTTTGCAAGATATTTGATTTTGGAAAGTTACAGATGTAAAACGAACGAATGATAAAGAAAGTTTCAGAGATATGAGAGATTTATAGGATTGAATTTCATCCACTGATAGAATGCGTAAGTTACCAATCAATTATACACAATTTAAACATTCATCAATATCATCACATATCGCTCACAAACAGAGTTTATGTCTAAACATTTGATGAGATTTCAACCTTATTATTTAATCGATGATCTTTCAGTCTATTAAATAATGTGAAAATATTAAGAATTGATACTTACGATGAATGTTAAACTTAAATCTATGTCTAGCATTTAGAGTGTAACAAGTGATTATCTTTGATTAAGATTTGAATCATATTTCTCAGTTTCAATTCCAATCCGTAAAGTTAAATAGTAAATCAAAGATAACATTAATATAAATTCATAAATAGATTGTATATAATTCTATGATCAATAAACATACATACTGCTATAGTGAACTACATTCAATCCCAACAAGAAAAGAATTTAGCTACTCATGATAGCTTGATACAAGAAGGAAGAATGAAGATGAACTTGCATCAATTATGATACGATTGATGTGTATTCAACTTCTGATCTTCACGAATCACCATTTCCTGTTGTTTGATATGTTTCTCTTTCTCCCAAAAATAATATATATCTAAAAATTTGAAGTGAAAAAGTATTTATACAAGTCTGAAAAAGCCATTGTCGTTCAACCCCAAATATTGCACTGAGCGCAGCTACTGAACAAACAACTTAATCCGACATAAACGGGGCTCGACGCGAAATTTGGGGCTCAATGAGGAAGCATCTGGTTTTTGGTGCTTTGACCGTGCTCAAATTAACTGGCATGCTTTGCCCGTGCTCATCATAACTTGCAGGCATGCTTTACTTCAAAAGTGAAAGGTGAAGCCATTTCTTTGTGATTTGATAATCAAAGTTCTTCTTATACAAACACACCTACAAAATGAGTTGCAAATGATCAAACTATACTATATTTACATAATAATCCATTAAAGCTAATATTTACCCAAAAATTGAGGTTTTAACTTGTGAATCCAATGAATCAAGTTAATAAATGTCACTAAAACATACAAATATCCAACACAATTTAGCCCTTATCAAAGGGTAATTTTGGAATTTTAAGTTAATTAAGATTTTAGGATAGTTAGAGCTAGACTTATTAGAATTTATAATATATAGATGTCGGTAGTGTCACATATAACAGTTTTTAAAGTGATAAATACCACTCTGATAATGATTAATTAAGTGCACTTTTCATTTGTAGCTTCATGTTTCATGATTAACATTATCTTATTGTGGTCTATTAAACGAGTCCATTAATCAACCATCTGTAAAAATTCTAGCAACATGTACCTATTATTAATATTGCAAATCTATTTGAATCCTCGAAAGACCACAACAAGTTTTGAAATGAGAATTGTTAAACTATTATCCCGTAAAATGCAGCGATTTCTAGAGTTTGATGAGATTCATTATGTTAAGTATAAATATAATATGCATGATTTCTCTTGGTATATGTTTGGTCCATTTCAATAATGGAACAAAACATTACAAACCGACTTAGATGGTTAGAATGAAGAGGAGATCTAGTTAGTGAATAATCACTTAATTAATGCACAATAGTTTGAGGATATAGATAAAAGAAACAATGTCTTCATTCTGCCTCACTTTTGTTGTCATTTGCATAATATGTCTCTCTGAAGGGTTTGATTGGGCTATTTTGAAAGAATGGCAAGTGGTTTCAATGTACAAAATCCTTTAAGAGTTTTATGATTCAATGTGCAAAATCCTTTGAGTTAGTCAATATGATGCACAAATTTCAGTTTTTGGGCAAAAGTTACATAAGAAATTTGAAGATGCTCAAGTGTTTGTTGTTGGATCTGGTGCATTGGGATGTGTTTCCAAAAACCATGCTTGAATTTAGAACACTTGGTGCTAAATGTAATACCAAAATGGTTATCCCTGCCTAACAGAAAACTATGGTGCCTCAAGAGATCCACCTAAGATACAAGCAATGATGTGTATTGTGCACTCATTTCCAACTAAAATAAATGCATATTTATCGACTCAAATGCATATACTACTGCGATGAGGAATGCTGGTAATGCTTAGGTTAGGGATAACTTAGAGTGTGAACTTCAATGCTTGGACAAAGAGAAGTGTGAGACTTTAGATGATTCAATTGTAAATTGATTTTTTGATTTTGCTAGATTCGTTTATTATTAAAGTCTCACACCAACATTTTACCAAAATATATCAGTGTTTATATAACTCAACTATTCATAAACAATTGTAATATTTAGATATTGGGCTAATGTTATAACCAACTAACTGGGCTTCAGGCCCAAATAATTTATTTTAAGGATTTTAATATTAATTAATAAAAAAAATTTAAAAGTATTATTTTATTTAATAAAAAAATAGTAGTTAATAAATTATTACAAAATATTAATTTATTCTATAAATAAATATTAAATAATAAATTATTCAGTCATCATTGAAAAGTCATTAAAAATAACTTTTGTATCCTAAATCGTGCTATGACAAAGTGGAAGAAGACCAATAAATAATAAATCACAGGAGAAGTAAAACTAAGGGATTAAAAAATTGAGTTTTGTAATAGATGATCAAAAAGTTAAAAACGCCTGATTAGGAAGATCAAAACCACATTTAATTCTATCTTTTTAATAGATTGTCTTTGTTCTTCATCATAACCAGTCGATTTTATCCTTAAAAAATTATATCTTTCTTTATATTTTTAAAAATCATTTTTATAAAATCATTTTTTTAATTCGTTGTTTATAAATTAAAAGATTAATTTTAACATCATATAACATAAATATTCATTATTAAAGATTAAAACATAGTCAAAATCACAATTTAAATAATTTTTATAAAAAACTATTTTAAAAATAATTTTAAATTCTTTGAAATTTTGATATTTAAAAAAAACTATAACAAATGAATGAAATACTTAAAATATTATTTTAAGAATAACTATTTAAACTAAATTTTCATTTAAACCTTTTAAAAAAAAAGGGTAATGCTAAATAATCAAAAAATTATTTATATTGTTGCAATAAATTCAATATACAATTTTCAAGATAGAGATTTCTTTATTTAGTTCTTAGAGTGTACCCAAATGGCACATGTTAACATTACCCTTTAAAGAAATTATTTATAATTTTTTTTTTGAAAAATATATATTACATTATAAAAATTATTAAAAAAAAAAACTGAAACAGAGTCCAATATCTCTGTTTCATCTCTCTTATGGTGTCATCCACACATCTGCTAACTTAAATCAGGTGTTCTCCAATCTTATTATCCTTTCCCAGGTTGGTTCATTGAGAGTCATTTCTAATTCTTACCAGTTTAATGTCATTTTATGTGTGCGAATGTAATGTTTTATATTTGTGTAAAAGCTGAGAATTTGGTCAACATCAGACTTCTCTATCATTCCCCTTTCTCCCGTTCAATTATAACTTGAAAAAGTAGCTTAAGGCTTTCAGCAAAGAAAGCAAACTCAGTGAACATAAGTGAAGGGATAAGAAAACTGAACTATTCACATTATATATAAACTAAGTATGATCACATGGGTGTACAAGAACTATCATGTATGAAGATTGTTAAGTCTCTACGGTCATATAATTCACAGTGCTACCAGAAATAGTTTGTCTATACACATAAACCATCTCCAAAACTCTAGAGTTAGTTGAACCAGCGCCACAAAATTGTTTCCATTGCAAACTAACAATGCCTCAGGGCACACAGCAATGTCTTAAGATCACAGCCAGTAAGTCCTCATGTGGGGATCATCAACATCAACCTGTGTGTGTGTCAGAACTCATTTCACATGTTTTTTAACAAGTGATTGATAGCTAAAGGCTAGCAAGATCAGATGGATACCTGATCATCAAAACAGGAAGGAATCTCAAAATCGATCCCAGAAGCATCAGCAAGATCCTCCATAGTTTTATCCTGCAATCCTCAAAAGTATAAAATACGAATTATCAAGTAATGGCCTAACACTGGGGCTGTTATCAGCTATCGCCTCGGCCCTTTCCATGATTTTCCCCTGTCCCAAGGATACAACATTTGAAGGGAAAGTAAAAAAAAATTACCAGCTCTTGCAGATCAAGAGCATTGTTCTCCACTTGGATGGACAAGTTGTCAATAACTGCTTCAGCAGATTCGACCATATACTGTAATCATATTATAACTATTAAATAAAATGACTTTAAAATTCAAAATTGGATTAAAAAAATTAGGTATGTTCTTGAAACAACAACACTATGAGATCTCAAATAAAAAAAATAGCACGCCAAAAGACTAGACAAAATTACTATCATTATCCACATGGGGTAAAGACAGTAATTGAGCATGAAATATACTAATCCAAAAACTTGCATTCTTGGTAACATGAATTGGACTCAATTTACTTGAGGAAACTGACTGGCAGCTCCTGGTCAAAAATGAATGGAAGATAAAAAGAAAACAAAACTTGAGTTGAGAACTTCATATTACGAGACTTAGGTGTGCTCAAGTGAATATCTACTTCATTTAGTTGAGTTTTACAAATAATTTTGAAGTTCTGCAAAAAGTTTATCAGAGTGTTATTTTTTATGCAAATTTCAATGATCTAGACTAAGTATATTCAATGTATTGAATTACATAATCCCGTGCAAGCAAGCAAACAAGTCAAATTTCCCCATAGTAGCCTGAGGCTAGTTTAATTTATTTAACTCAGAAAATATAATGATTACACTGATACAAACCTGCTCATCTATCATCTCGGGTGACTGTATGGCATCCATTGGCACAGGCTTTGTTTCCCGGGGGCTTTCCTGAGGGAAAAAAAACACCATAACAAAATAAAATTAGCATTAGTATCAGAATCCATACATGCAAACAAAACAACACAACAACAACAATAACCAAGCCTTATCCCACTAAGTGGAGTAGGTTACATGAATCAACTTCCGTCATAATGTTCTATCCAAGACCATACTTCTATCCAAATCATTCAGAGAGTACTCAACTATTTGAATAAAAATCAACAAATGATAGATTGAAAAAAACAAAACACTTGCGTCATGGACCCTCAAAGAGAACAATATATTGACATGGAGTTGCGCTATTCTTCCGGCTATTCTGAAGACCCGTAAAAAAGAGTGGTAAAAGATAAAGGGCCACACAAGCAATGTCACAAGAAAATAAGAAGTACAAGAAACAGCTATATTTTTTTGTATCGACAAAATTGCTGAATAATTTGCAGAAGAAAAGTTCACAAGAAAAAGATACCTCCTTGTCCTGCGCAGCACATGAATTTTCTGGGTCTGTTGTTGAAGGTGTTATGTCCGTTGAAGTATCCTAAAAATAAAAGGAATACTATTAGCCTTGAAATTCCAAGCATCTTTGGTTGAGAACAGGTCATGACAAGAAACTTCAAATTCGTGACCACTAGCGGACTACACTCTAATTTTCATTGGATTTTGAGGGCAAGTAATCCAAACAAAAAGGGTAGCAAATAGACACAGCTGTTTTTGAGTAATATTTATCATGAAACAAAATCATTTATAATCCTATGCCAAAACTTTCTAGCGGTGCATCATAATACCTGTATAAACATACTGCAACTATTTTTCAAAACAATTGTAGCATAATAATAACACTTCAAGTGATGCAGGATGAATAACATAACTTCTCGGTTATTTTCAAACAGGTGAATGCAGAGTCCATTGACAGCATGCAAAATGAAAAATATACCAGTTCATTGTGTTCAAAAGCAATCCTTCCTGATCTGTTGAGCTCTCTCAGAGTTCCCTTCATATTAACAAACCGTACAAATGAAGATCAATAATCGGCTAGACGGGAATATGAAATTTGATGATACTACAAGGGACAAAAGCTCTTGTTTAAGCCATGAGTTCTAGTTGGTATAAAATAAAGGTACAACAAAATTATACAAAAATGAGACATGATTTAACGCATAGCTCTGGAGCACAACACTTGCAATAATCAATATGACAAAGTATAATCCTAAGCTAAGCTAATAAAAAGATAGTAATTACCTTATTTGCCCACATGAGCCCACAAGCATTGCATAGAGATCTTGGACCAGCCGGTCCTCGACGCATTACTGGAGTAGACTTCTCACCAATTTCACAATGCTGACATCTACGCTCACTTAAAAATGGCAGGGACGCAGCAGAACAATAGCCGTGTTAGCACCAATATTTATATATTAAAGTGAAAAGGTAAACATTACTGCATCCTTAACTTTCAAACAAATAATATAACTTTGTAACTCACGTAGATTTTGGGCAAGGTGTACCACTGCTAGAATCCTGGTTTTCAGTAGGAGAATTGTACTCTTCCTTCAATGATGCAAACTGTCCATTCTTCCGTTGCATCCTATTAGAAAAATCAATATCATCAATCTCAAAAGCATCAAACGTTGAGACGACATGCAGAACATGTTAGCGCCTAAAGTAAAAACTCCAAAAATAAATCCAGAAAGCCAGCATATTCTACTGCCATGCAAAACGAACAACAAACATTTAGAGAGATAATGCTACATTACTAATTACCAAGATAGACTTTATTCAACATAAACACAAGCACATTTAGCAGTGAAGCAGTTACAAATGTGAACCAACTACGTGCTCAATCTCAAATTAACCCAAATAATCAAAAAGAAACAAGAAAACATTATATGGCAGACTACAGCAAAGATCCGAACTACCTCTCAGCAACCTCTTTCCGGCAAGTGTAGCGAATTTTCTTCTGAAAGCATCTGTCTTTTCGTTTTTCACGGAACCTAACAAGCGATGCAAATCTCCGCGAAAGCTTTGAATTACGGGAAGGATCATTTATTCCCTGGCATACATAACAAGTTTAAAAACACTTAAAACATGTTAAGAAGAAATGTATCTAAATGAAGGGGCATTTGGAAAAAAAATACCGAAATGTGGTGATAGTTTAGCGGCAGCAAAAAGTGAGAGGAGGGGAGAGTATTGGGTGTCTCCTGGCCTCCCAAGAGTAACAATACAGCCTGCAGCTGCATTTCAGCATAAAATGGTGTTAAGTATGATGATGAATTGCAAGTAAAGCGAAAATAGAAAAAAGGAACCTTTTGTGGCGTAACGGAAGGGAAAACATAGACGTCGCCTTGAAAGGAAATGGTGAGTTCAGTGGCAGGAGTAAGAATGGGTTGAGGTTGTTCAGCTACATTGGAACAGTGTCTGTCATCACAGGAATTGACCGTTTCCATTACACAAGCATCAGTGATGAGTGAGTTTGGGATGGGAACCCTAGAGTAATATGGAAGTGAATAAGAAAAAACATAAGTAGAATGGAAATGGAAATGGAAAGAAATACTATTGACTGTTGTCGTGCTGTTTTCTAGACAAAGGAGTCAAGGGAAGACACTCCCTTATTACACACGTATTTCAATCACAATTTCAAATCTTTTCTTTCTGGGGTTACTCCTTAAATAATTTTTTAGGTTTAATTACATTTTTACTTTTTTTTTTAAAGAAAAAAATTTAGATGAGTTAGACTATGGGAATTCACCAATGCCAACTGAGTCAACATTCCTTTGACATATTTTTACTTTACTCTTAGTATATAATAAAAAAAAATTAATTTAATTTTTTTTACGCAATAGCTATTTCAATTAAAATTCCTTAATAATTAACTTTTCCAAAAAAATATTCAATTAACCATATTTGAATTTTAAGTTTAGTAGAGTAGTCATCTCATATGACATTTAGGTGTTATTTATTTTTTAAAACTTTTTTAAAATAATAATAAAAAATTAATTAACAAATATAAAAAATTACTTTTATTAGTTTAATAAAACAATTACATATAAAAATTAAATATTATTTATCTGACCGGTCATTGATAACACTCATTAGTTCCACAATCTCGTGCTACCCTAATTCGTTGTTCCTAACTCTTTGAGGTTCTTCTTGTGTTTGGGTCAAGGGTGAAACAACCGGCTGAAAATCATCAAACAATGAAGTCGCCATCGAACGTCTTTTATCCCACATGTAGGGAAAGGTAAACATCGAGAAAACCTGAGAAGGGAGAAGTCACGGTCTTGCGACCGAGAGATCGGGTAAGGGAGTCTGTTACGCAAGGGGAAGGTATTAGCACCCCACACGCCCGTAGTACTCTACAGTATCCACTCTTGTTATCTATCTTATGGGTGTGTTTAATCTATGTTTATTGTTTACTATACTATTGGAGGAATGCATGCAAAAGAAAAGGAGAAAAGAATGTAGGGAAAATAAAATTGTGTTCGCTTGGGCCCTACCCCAATGCCTACGTATCCTTTTTGAGGAATCAGAGCAGCCGTAGTTCGGCTTATATGTTTTTGTCGGTTGGTATTTTTTTAATGAACAACATTAATTTCGCCTTCTGCCGCAACTCGACCTTTGGAGATTTATGCGTCAGCACAGAAGTGAATTAATATGCTCTTTTGAAAAGGGTTTGAAAGAAAGGCCCGAGGGCAAAAAAGATTTTTATGTTTGTTGGTGTTTTTCGCTTGTAGATAATAGCTAGTTAACCTCAAGAGAGAGATTTTTAGCCATTTCTCTACTTATTCATGAAATGAGTCTTTGAGACTTAAACCACACCAAAGCTTAGAATAAGAGATCAATAAGGTCGAGAAGAGACCCGCTTATCGTCTCACATACTTAACGAAGATATGATTCTCGTCAGTAATTTTTTTTGTATTTTTGAAGTTTACGAGAAAAAGAAGTTTTTGTTTTTAAATACATCTGTTCAAAGAGAAAGAAAAGTCAAAAGGGAATTAGCCTATTTCTAAACCTAATGTTATTGTGTGTGGTTAGACCTAAAGTTAGAATGAATGTAGTTCTACCTAATGTTAGCATGCATATGGATTGCGATAAAGTACGAAAATGAAGAATAAAATAGATTTGTGACGATACCGAACGGAGGAGGTCCGTTGCCTCTTCAAAATTGTGCAAGCGGTAAGAGAACTCTATCAAAGTTCCCTTGGGCAAGTGATTGAAGAATTAACCCCGAGTATTCCACATTTATGTCGACGCTACAAAAAGTCTTGACTAGAAAATGGCAATAAAAATGATTATCGAATATGAAAAATAAAATAGAAAAAATTCTAATCGGAATTCTAAAAGAAATTCTATTCTAAAATATTCTATTATTTTTTGTTTTATTATTGATTAAAAAAAATTAAATTAGAAGAGAAAACTAAAATAATAAAAGAAAAGAAAAAAATTAGAAGAGTTAGGGGGTATGAAGTCTAGAAATATGGGTGCTTAAGTAATTTGCCCAAAAAGATTTTTAACATTTTATTTATTATTTACTTAGTTATTATTATTATTAATTTGAAATAAAAACATAAAATAATAAAACAGTTAAAACTAAAAAGAAAAAAAAGTATGAAAATTGGAAAGGGAATAGGGTTTTTAGAAAGAAAGTCTCTTCTCTTCTTCTCCGCAGAACAAATACGAATGGCGCCGACAGACACAGCCTCCTCCGCTTCTTCAGACAACTCAGCAACGCGGTCATCATCATCCTCGCTGATCTCCGTCTCTCCCTCCCCCCTGTTCATCTCTGTCGCGGAACGGTTCCGATTCCCCTTTCGCCGCGCCGGTAATCGCCTCTGACAGCGGCAAACCCCGATCCCAGCCACGATTCTTTCAGGTAACGATCTCTTTTCTTCTCCTCGTTCTTGTTTCTTCTTCTTTTTCGTTGTGTTCCTGAGATTTCGAATCTCTGTATCTCGTGCGATTTTTTTGCATTGATTGTGGCGGTGTGTTGTTGAAGAAGAGAGGACAGAGGTACTTGAAGATTGAAGATGGAGATTCTTGAGGAATTCAACAATCTTGAGCGTTGAAGAGGAAACTTCTTAGAGACTTATTTAGAGGTGAATTTTTCTTCTGAGTTTTTCTTGATTTTCCTGCACATTCTTCTGAAATCTGCATTTTTGTTGTAGCAAGGGAGGTTACAGATGTAGTGATGACTGAAGCTATGTTGAGAAACCGTTCTTGCGGGTTGTTTATGAAGAGATAAAAAATTTAGATGAAGATGGGTGATTTTCTAGAAGTGTGAAGGTAATGATGTATGGAGATGAAGAATGAATTCAAGGTTGAGGATGGAAGAGAGAGCATAAAGAGATTTCTGAGATGATTTTTTTGGTGAGTTCTTCTGAAGTGATGAAGTAATGTGCGATTTGATGTTGATGGAGATTGGTGTATGATGAAAGGTCTTGACTCACATATGAAGATGATGATGAAGGCTTGTACGGAAGAATAAAGAAGTGCAATGAGGAGCTTCGTTCAGAGGTTGATCAAGATTGATGAAAGTTGAAGGTGTGATGGAAAATGGAATGTGTTCTGAGTTTGGTGAAAAGGCCCTGTGGTGAATTGAGATGAGGCATGAGGAAAAAATGGTGGTTCTTCTGCAGATTCCAGAGTGAGATGATTGAGAGGTAAATTCTTTTTATTGTATTGAAAATCCTATCTATTCTGTCCACCTTTATGCATATGCTGTGTACTCTATTTATATATGCTGGAAGTTTGTTATGGTTGGTTATTGATCAAAGGTGATGGTGAAAGTTGGTTAGAGGTTGGTTAAGTTAGTTATGAAGAAAGTTAAGAAAAGTTGTTAGGTGTTATAACAGTTTTGGTTAGTTATGCTGTTAGAAGTTAGGGAATTGGTTATGGTATGGTTAAAAATCTGTTAGAAGCGGTTAGGGGGTTATATATTATGTTTGTTATGTGCAGGGCTGTTTTGGAATTGATAATAATTGTATCTTTTTGTTGCGTAAATGTTCAGGATTGCTTTGGAAAAAAAAAGCATAGACCATGGCAAGTTACAATACGCCGGTTTGGTCATGAAGAAGGTAATGAAGATGGAAGCAACAAGGTTGCATTTCAAACACGACGAGGCCACACAAAAAGCGATGATGAGAATCAATATATGCACTTTTAATTGTATTTCTTGTTTTTGTAGTATTTTTGGATATTTTAAATGGTGTTGGGTATTTGGTTATGATATGGTTTTGACAGACTTTCTCCTTTTAAGATTTAAACCCTTTGCGCTTCTACCAGTAACATATGTGAAATCATGCTCAACTGATACATCTGACTTGATTGTTCTTACATTGCCTTTTCCATGCATTAGAGAAATATCTATTATACTAATGCATGCAACAAAAAGCACCCAAATAATATTTGTTTGTCGAACAACAACTGCAAAGGCTCCAACCTTACCAATGCACTTAACCAGTAATTCTTTTCCAAACTTGCAAGATACATGGTCAGCACAGCAGTAACGGATGCAACATCTATATAATAAATAAAAGTGAAGAACCAATGAAGGGGATACAAGGATAGGACAATTGCGTGAAGCATTGCCTTTCTGTCACCGAGAGTTGGTTTCAAGTGAATAATGATGTCATATAGAATTATGCTGCATGCTTTTTCATACTTGTGGTTTGAATTCCAAGAAAAACCACGCAAATATTTAAGAACTTCCACTTCAAATATTAATGAATGAATTCTAATCAAACTACAGCTTCAGTGAATCCCTAATTCAATTCAATTTTTCCAATCTAAACCAAATTTGCGCGTCAAGCAAATAAGCATTTGAAGTAATGACACCTTGATCACAATCAACATCTTGTACCATGTCCCGACTATATGAGCACTAGAACAACGACGTCTTGGACCCCTTCTCAATAGATGATGATGACTATGCCCTGAGGAATTCTTTACAGATGAATATGAAAGATGAGACATGCGAACACCTTGATATGGAATGAACATCAGGTAGAATGCTGACAAGCTCAAGTATAAAAATGTATAAACCCTGATTTTTAGCTTCGTCTCATAAAGCCTTGCAACTTGACATTGAGAAGCAAATAATAGCCTCGTAGCCTGATGATGATAAGGTCCATGAAATGAAAACCTAGCTTCAAACAGATTATTAATGGAGAAATCAATCGAAACAAGCTTGTGCGAAGATGGGAGCCTTAAAGCCATACACCAACCCTTATTCCTCGAAATCCGTGATCTTATGCCAATTTATTGATTAATGATGCATGATGTGTTAGATGACCAAATGTGAGAAAAATGCAAAAGTGCGTAAGCCAGATAGGAAGTAAAAGGGTAGGACAAATTTGGGGTATTACAGCTGCCCCTATTTAATCGTCTTAAACCTGAAAGTACGATTGGCGCGTGCCTTTCGGAAGTTCAAGGTGGAAGATGATTAAATACCAATGCCAAAAATTTGTCCTGAGAGAGGGAGTAAGTGTTTTCTTTATTTATGTGTTTTGTGATCTGCTGGGGAAAGGAAATTTGTTTTTTTCAATGAAGAGACAGAGATTGGAATTGTAACGTGGCGTGATGCCAATACAAGACAAATGGTTGGTATGAAAAGACAGCGGACGAGGTCTACGGGCGGCCTACGATCCGAGGGTGACACATGGGAGTGATTTGATAGAGAACCTAGCCAAAGGGCGATCTCAGGTTCGACGGTGATTTGAAGGAAGAACCTAGCCAAGAGGCGATCTCAGGTTCGACGATGATTTGAAGGAAGAATCTAGCCAAGAGGCGATCTCAGGTTCGACGATGATTTGAAGGAAGAACCTAGCCAAGAGGCGATCTCAGGTTCGACGGTGATTTGAATGAAGAACCTAGCCAAGAGGCGATCTCAGGTTCGACGATGATTTGAGGGAAGAACCTAGCCAAGAGGCGATCTCAGGTTCGACGATAATTTGAAGGAAGAACCTAGCCGAGAGGCGATCTCAGGTTCGACAAAGATTTGAAGGAAGAACCTAGCCAAGAGGCGATCTCAGGTTCGACAAAGATTTGAAGGAAGAACCTAGCCAAGAGGCGATCTCAGGTTCGACAAAGATTTGAAGGAAGAACCTAGCCAAGAGGCGATCTCAGGTTCGACAAAGGTTTGAGGGAAGAACCTAGCCAAGAGGCGATCTCAGGTTCGACAAAGATTTGAGGGAAGAACCTAGCCAAGAGGCGATCTCAGGTTCGACAAAGATTTGAAGGAAGAACCTAGCCAAGAGGCGATCTCAGGTTCGACAAAGGTTTGAGGGAAGAACCTAGCCAAGAGGCGATCTCAGGTTCGACAAAGATTTGAAGGAAGAACCTAGCCAAGAGGCGATCTCAGGTTCGACAAAGGTTTGAGGGAAGAACCTAGCCAAGAGGCAATCTCAGGTTCGACGGAGATTTGAGGGAAGAACCTAGCCAAAAGGCGATCTCAGGTTCGACAAAGATTTGAAGGAAGAACCTAGCCAAGAGGAGATTTCAGGTTCGACAAAGATTTGAAGGAAGAACCTAGCCAAGAGGCGATCTCAGGTTCGAAGAAGGGAACATGGGTTATGACATGATGATTGTTTAGATAAGCGACACGGATGAGCATCAAGAAAGTTTAAACACGGACGAGCGTTTGATTTAATACGAACGAGTATTGAAAGGAGATACGGACGAGTATCAAAAGGTATAAACACGGACGAGTGTTTGAATCAATACGGACGAGTATTGAAAGGAGATACAGGCGAGTATCAAAAGTATAAACACGGACGAGTGTTTGAATCAATACGGACGAGTATTGAAAGGAGATACAGGCGAGTATCAAAAGGTTTAAACACGGACGAGTGTTTGAATCAATACGGACGAGTATTGAAGGAAGATACGGACGAGTATCAAAATGTTTAAACACGGACGAGTGTTTGAATCAATACAGACGAGTATTGAAAGAAGATACGGACGAGTATCAAAAGGTTTAAACACGGACGAGTGTTTGAATTAATACGGACGAGTATCAAAAGGTTACACACGGACGAGTGTTTGATTCAATACGGACGAGTATTGAAAGAAGATACGGACGAGTATCAAAAAGTATAAACACGGACGAGTGTTTGAATCAATACGGACGAGTATTGAAAGGAGATACGGACGAGTATCAAAAGGTGAAACACAGACGAGTGTTTGGATAACTGGCCCGGGTGGGTGTTTAGGAAACTTGATACATACGAGTGCTTAGGAATGGACACAGACGAGTGTTAAGGGATGGACACAGACGGGTGTTTAGGAATGGACACAGACGAATGTTTAGGGATGGACTACCAGACAAGAACTGGGTTTAGAACGGCAAAGTGTATTAATTTTGTTTGGCATTGAAAAGGTGAAGGTCACCGACTGGGGACTTTGGGCATGATATCCTTCTGTAGGGATGTATTGTTGTCCTTGAATAATTCAGGTCTTTCGTGTAAGGTACCCGGTCTGGCTTATGCTTTGTATGCATGTTTGAATTTCTTTTGACGCAAAGATCCACTCTGATGGACCAGCTACGCGCCTTGAGGATGAAATGTTATGCAGTGATAACTATATGCAAATGCGAAGAAATAAACTTCATGGGGATAAGAGAAGGCTTGCTGGGAACCATTGCTCATCACTGGGTATGTCAATACATATCGACACTGGAAGTCCGTAGTACCAAAGATTGTTGATGACTCTGCTGAAGACTGAATTGCTGACGAAGCGAGTCTTTAGGTACACTGCTGGATTCTAAATCGTACCGTTGAAGGAAGAGATAATCTGACCAAACCTCCATACATCCCGAACTGTTGAGGGGGTGATAGAAC